TCAGGACAAAAATAGACAACATTAAAGAGGAAACCACCCAGGATATGGAAAACCTCAGAAAAAAGAACGAAACAGAACCGCAAAACAAAACGGAAGGCCAATCCAGCATAATAGAACAAACAGAAGACAGAATCTCAGAAATTGAAGATGAAATGGTAATTAAAGGAAAAACTGAAGAACTATTAATTAAACAACTCAAGACCTGTGAAAAGAAAATGCAAGAACTCACTGACTCCATCAAAAGACCAAACTTGAGAATCATGGGCATCGAAGAAGGAGAAGAGGTGCAAGCAAAGGGAATGCTAATATATTCAACAAAATAATAACGGAAAATTTCCCAAATCTAGAGAAAGATACTCCCATACAGATGCAAGAGGCCTCCAGGACACCAAACAGACCAGATCAAAATAGAACTACCCCACGACGTATCATCATTAAAACAACAAGTTCAGAAACTAAGGAAAGAATCTTGAAGGCTGAAAGACAGAAAAAACAAGTAACATACAAAGGTAAACCCATCAAAATCACAGCAGACTTCTCAACAGAAACATTAAAAGCAAGAGCGTGGGATGAGCTCTTCCGGGCACTGAATGAAAATAACTTCAACCACAGGATACTCTACCCAGCAAAACTATCATTCAAAATAGATGGAGCAATAAAAGTCTTCCATGATAAGCAGAAACTAAAACAATATGTGACCACAAAGCCACCACTACAAAAGATTCTGCAAGGGATTCTGCACACAGAAAGTGAAACCCAACTTAACCATGAAAAGACAGGCAGCACCAAACCACAGGAAAAGAAAAAGCAAGACAGTAGAGAGTAACATCAAGTTAGGTACACACAATCAAACCTTCAAACAACTAAGACAACTAAATGACAGGAATCACCACATACCTATCAGTACTAACACTTAATGTTAACGGACTTAATTCACCCATCAAAAGGCACTGCTTAATGAAATGGATTAAAAAGGAATATCCAACAATTTGTTGCCTACAGGAGACCCATCTCACTGACAGAAATAAGCATAGGCTTAGGATGAAAGGCTGGAAGAAGATTTACCAAGCCATTGGCCCCCAAAAACAGGCAGGAGTAGCAATACTTTCTCAAAAGAAGAGATTCAAATGGCCACAAAAACACATGAAAAAATGCTCACCATCCCTAGCAATAAAGGAAATGCAAATTAAAACCACGCTTAGATTCCACCTCACCCCTGTTAAAATAGCCATCATCAGCAACACCAACAACAACAGGTGTTGGCAAGGATGCGGGGAAAAAGGAACCCTCATACACTGCCGGTGGGAATGTAAACTAGTACAACCACTCTGGAAAAAAATTTGGAGGCTACTTAAAAAGCTAGACATTGATTTACCATTTGATCCAGCAATACCACTCTTGGGGATAGTCCCAAAAGACTGTGACACAGGTTATTCCAGAGGCACCTGCACACCCATGTTTATTGCAGCACTATTCACAATAGCCAAGTTATGGAAACAGCCAAGATGCCCCACCACTGACGAATGGATTAAGAAAATGTGGTATTTATACACAATGGAATTTTATGCAGCCATGAAGAAGAACAAATGTTATCATTCGCTGGTAAATGGATGGAATTGGAGAACATCATTCGGAGTGAGGTTAGCCTGGCCCAAAAGACCAAAAATCGTATGTTCTCCCTCATATGTGGACATTAGATCAAGGGCAAACACAACAATGGGATTGGACTTTGAGCACATGATAAAAGCGAGAGCACACAAGCAAGGGGTGAGGATAGGTAAGACACCTAAAAAGTTAGCTAGCATTTGTTGCCCTTAACGCAGAGAAACGAAAGCAGATACCTTAAAAGCAACTGAGGCCAACAGGAAAAGGGGACCAGGAACTAGAGAAAAGGTTAGATCAAAAAGAATTAACCTAGAAGGTAACACCCACGCACAAGAAATCAATGTGAGTCAATGCCCTGTATAGCTATCCTTATTTCAATCAGCAAAAACCCTTGTTCCTTTCTATTATTGCTTATACTCTCTCTACAACAAAATTAGAAATAAGGGCAAAATAGTTTCTGCTGGGTATTGAGGGAGAGTGTGGGGGAGAGGGAGGGGGGCAGAGTGGGTGGTAAGGGAGGGGGTGGGGGCAGGGGGGAGAAATGACCCAAGCCTTGTATGCACATATGAATAATAAAAGAAAAAAAAATAAAAAACAAATCAACTTACAAAATTTATTAGTTTTTCTATACACCAACAATGATCAAATTGAGACAGACTATATGAAAACAATTCCATTTACAATAGCCTCAAAAAAAATCAAATACCTAGGAGTAAACTTAACAAAGGATGTGAATGACCTCTACAAGAAGAAGTACAAACCCCTGAAGAAAGATATTGATGAAGACTACAGAAGGTTGAGAGAACTCCTGTGCTCATGGATTGGTAGAGTCAACATAGCAAAACTGGCTATACTCCCAAAAGCAATCTACATGTTTAATGCAATTCCCATCAAAATCCCAATGACATTCATCACAGAAATTGAAAAATCTACCCTATTTAGAAACACAAGAGACTGTGAATAGCCAAGGCAGTACTCAGCAAAAAGAGCAATGCTGGAGGTATCACAATACCCAAATTCAAACTATATTACAAAGCAATAGCAATAAAAACAGCATGGCACTGGCAAAAAAACGGACATGAAGACCAGTGAAACAGAATAGCAGACCAGGATGTGAATTCACACAGCTATGCCCACCTCATTTTTGACAAAGGCGCCAAAAACATACGATGGAGAAAAGACAGCCTCTTCAACAAATGTTGCTGGGAAAAGTGGTTATCCATCTGCAAAAAACTGAAATTAGATCCATGTTTATCACCCTGTTAGTATCAACTCAAAATGGATCAAGGACCTTAATATCAGACCCAAAACTCTGAAGTTAGTATAGGAAAGAGCAGGTAATGCTCTGGAAGCATAAGTATAGGCAAGGACTTCCTCAATAGAACCCCTGCAGCCCAGCAACTAAGAGAAAGAATAGACAAATGGGACTTCATAAAATTAAAAAGCTTCTGCACAACAAAAGAAATGGTCTCTAAACTGAAGAGACCACCCACAGAGTGGGAGAAAATATTTGCCAGTGATACATCAGACAAAGGACTAATAACCAGAATATATAGGGAGATCAAAAAACTAAACTCCCCCAAAATCAATGAACCAATAAAGGCATGGGCAACTGAACTAAACAGAACTTTTTCAAAAAAAGAAATTCAAATGGCCAAAAACACATGAAAAAATGCTCACCATCTCTAGCCATAAAGGAAATGCAAATCAAAACCACATTAAGATTCCATCTCACTCCTGTTAGAATAGCTATCATCAAAAACACCTCCAACAACAGGTGTTGGCAAGGGTGTGGGGAAAAAGGAAACCTCATACAGTGCTGGTGGGAATGCAAGCTAGTGCAACCACTCTGAAAAAAAATATGGAGGCTTCTTTAAAAACTAAACATAGACCTGCCGTATGATCCAGTAATCCCACTCCTGGGGATATACCCAAAGGAATGCAACACAGGTTACTCCAAAGGCACCTGCACACCCATGTTTATTGCGGCACTATTCACAATAGCCAAGTTATGGAAACAACCAAGATGCCCCACTACTGACAAACAGATTAAGAAAATGTGGTATTTATACACAATGGAGTTTTACTCAGTCATGAAGAAGAATGAAATCTTATTATTCGCAAGTAAATGGATGGAACTGGAGAATATCATCCTGAGCAAGGTTAGCCAGGCTCAGAAGACCAAAAACTGTATGTTCTCCTTCATAGGTAGTCTTTCGATCTAGGGCAAATACAGCAATGTTGTTGGACTGCATCACATGATAAGGGGAGAGCACATACAGGAGGAATGGAGATAAGTAGGAAACCCAAAATTTGAAAGGTTTGATGTCCCTACTGCAGAAGAGCCAATACAGTAATCTTAAAATGACAGAGATCAATATGGGAAGGTGGCCACGAAGTAGTGAAGAGGTCTGGTAGAGATGAATCAATTCAAGTTGTAATACACTTGTGCATGGAAGCAATGCTAGGAATCTCTCTGTATAGCTATCCTTATCTCAGCTAGCAAAAATGCTTTGTCTTTCTTATTACTGCTTATGTCTTCTCTTCAATGAAATTAGAGAAAAGGGCAAAACAGGTTCTTCTTGGAAGCAAGGGGGTTGGGGGAAGAGGGAGGATGTGGGGGGCTGGGATGAGAAATGACCCAAACAATGTATGCACATATGAATAAATGAATAAAGAAAATAAATAATTGACATTTATTTCCAACCATCTAAAATAGAGTCTAACAAAAAAAGATTGCCTGAATATATGTCAAGAAACAAGGGTTTTTTTATATTTCTCTTTCAATTTTTTAAGTGGAAGAAAGCCAAAACAACAGATTTTGTTATAAAAGATAAACACCCACTTAAAATTAAGCGGCATTGGTGTTCCTGGTATATTATTATTTTAATATCTTCTCTTGATAGAAAAACTTTGTCTTCCTGCTCTAAAATTATGTAAGTTCTCAACTTATACAAAGGAGTTATATGAATTTGAGCAGAAATCAAATAAAATTGGCATTGGATGATATTTTGGGAAACTGGAGCTAAGTCTTATTAAGGCAATCAACACAAGTATCCCATGACACAGATAAGATTAAACTGAGTCCGATTTAGTCCACCAGTTAGATATTTCTCACTTGATATACGTCTTACCCTAATGAATATGCAGGCAGATAGTACATAATAATACCCTAAAATACCATTTTTTCTTCTTCCTGCCCATACTTTATTAGAGGTATCAATGAAGTTGCTAAAACAAAATGAAAGAAGCAAGCACTCTGCTCATTCACTACCTAATCAGAGTCAAGCATATATTTGTTTTAATTTTAGTAAGGAAAATCAAGGTAATCTTTTTGAAAATACAGAAATGGTAATGTTTTCAAGTATAATGCTATTAAATGTGACAATACTTACCCAGTTAGAATAAAAGGTACTTTTTCTTTATGATATTCCAAGTTAACTAATATGTTTTTAAACTTCATAAGCCAACTTCTAGCTCTTGCATAAGTTGAAACATCGTAAATACTCATGAATCTAAGAAAATATACATATGTGGTATAATAAAAACAAGTGTCTTACTCGGGGCAATGTAAAATGGAAAGTTAAACTAAATAAAAATTTAATACGGACCTACTATATATGCACCCAGTCCTAAGCCTCTGCATCCATCCTCTTACCTACCCACGGTCATAATACAAGAACATTCCTGGCATGAGACTCTGTGCCTCTGTTCCTAGAACCATTCCTGATCTGAGATAGAACATAATTAAAGCTTCTCTAGGAGGGTCCTTTGGGGTTCTGGAATCCAGCTTCCTTTAGTCCTGTATTGCCTAGCCCTGAAGGCAACTGAAGGCTTTAGCTTTCCCAGTGTAATCGCAGAGATTGATGATAGATCTCCCGAGATTACAGGCTGCTGAGATGTTAACTATCACCCACCTGGTGTTTCCAACCTTTGCCCCACAGCTTTGTCTCAGATCATCCACTAACTAATGCTTGCCAGGACTGTGACCAAATATTGATATGACTTCAAGACATTGAGCTTTTCCCACCAGATTTCATTGCATCTCTCAACACCAGCACTTGGACCAATTCCTCCAGCGCCCACTCCAAGAAGCAGAACCATAACAGGATCCAGGCCTCTGTACTTCTGGTAATTTAGTAAATATGATAGAAAAGCAAAATAATTATAATGGTAATTGAAGCTATGTAAGCTTTAACTCATGGACCCCCTAGTCTCTTAACTAGCTACTTTGCAATCATACCTTCCTCCAGAATCTCCTAATGTCACCAAGGTTATAAAACTGTGGTGGGGCAAGAGCTATGCAAACAAGAAAAATACAAAATAGATGGACAGATGGATATGTGGATAAATAGACCGATAGATGGATATAGACAGCTAAGATAACAAATTGGTCAATATGGACACTTCTTTGTGCATTGTTTAATCACATACCAATTCAATTTTAGAAATATCATACTTACTTTCCTTTGATGGGGCAATAGCTTTTGGTTGCACCAATCAATATCCGGGCTGCCTCTACTCCAAGGATTCCATTGTTGCACTGTTTTTCAAAGCTACTCTAAACATACAATTTTAAATAAAAATTACAAAGGATCAAGCATAAATACAATGCACTCTTCTTCATTCTAACATAGAGCACATTATTGTCAGTTAACACGATTGGCCCTCTGTATCCATGGGCTCTGCATATATGAGTCCAATCAACCACAAACAGAAAATATTCAGGAACATGTACAGAATTTTTCTTATCATTTTCCCCAAATAATACAGCACTTACATAGCATTTGCATTGTATTGGGCATAATGAGTAATCTAGAGATGATTAAAGTATACAGGAAAATATGCATAAGTAGGTTATATGAAAATACTATGCCATTTTACATGAGTGAGAGCATTTGCATATTTTGGTATTCATAGGAGGGTCCTAGAACTGATCCCTAATATATGTCAATTAAATAAGTAATTTTTTTTTCAAAAAAGAAAATCTATGCAAGGCAGAGAAAAGAAGAGAAGGAAATGTTATGTTCACTATTCCCTCTTGGAGAATTCCTGTGCATATCAGCATCTTAGTTCTATAAGAACTTTCATAACAAATCTCATAATTTCCAAACTAATTTCAGCATGGAAACTTTTTTTTGCATGCAGAACCTATTAACATCCCATAGAACAAGTATCCTTTGGAACTCACTTTGGAAAACACAGGCAGTGAGGAGTCATGCAGAGTTTCTCTCTCTCTCTCTCTCTCTCTCTCTCTTTCTCCAGTGCTGGGGTTTGAACTTGATTTACTCAGTTACATCCCTAGCCCTGTTTTTGTTGTTCTTGTTGTTTATATTTGTTTTGTTTCTGCCATAGGGTCTCACTATATAACCCAGGCTGGCCTCAAACTCACCAACTTCTTATCTCAGACACCCAAGTGCTAAGATCACACTCAGCCTGTGTTAGAGTTTTTTTAATTAGTGTGCATTAATTGTACAAAGTGGTTTCATTATGCTATTTGCATACGTGTATGTAATGTACTTTGATCAAATTCACCATCTCCATTACTCTTTATTAGTTTTTATTTTCTATTTCTTTTCTTATTACATCTCCCCCCTTTATAAAACAATTTTAACAGGTTTCACTATTATATTTTCATGCATGACTATAAAGTACTTTGGTTATCTCCACCCTCCCCTTCATTCTCTCCTTTCACTCACCCCCTCCTGATGGTTCCTAACCCCAATTAATATCCCCATTTTACACCTTTGTCATTCTCTTTTGTATTCTGCTAATGAGAACATGTGATGTTTGTCTTTCTGAGTCTTAGTTATGTCACTTAACATGATGATCTCCAGTTCTACCCATTTTCCTGCAAACAGCACAATTTCATTCTTCTTTATGGAGAATAACACTCCATTGTGTATATATACCACATTTTCTTTATCCACTCATCAGCTGATGGACACCTATGTTGATTCCACAGTTTGGCTATTGCTGCTAAAACCATGGGTGTGCAGGTACCTACATTATATGAAGAGTTACATTCCTTGGGATATATGCCCAGGAGTGGTACAGCAGGGTCTTTTGCTAGCTCTATTTTTAGTGTTTTGAGGAACCTCCATGCTGACTTCCACAGCAGCTGCACTAGTTTACATTACCATCAACAGTATTAAAGGGTTCTTTTTGCCCTCACTCCTTGCTAACATTTGCTTTTTCTTTTTTGCTTTTTTTGGGGGGTGGGTCAATAATGGGGTTTGAACTCAAGGCCTCATGCTTGCTAGGCAGGTGGTTTACCACTTGAAGCACACCCCAGCCCTTTTTTGCTTGAGTTATTTTTCTGATAGGGTCTCGAATTTTTTTGTCTAGGCTGGCCTCAGGCCACAATTTTCCTACATATAGTCTCTCCCATACTTGGGTTCACAGGCATATGCCACCATGCCTAGTTTATTAAAATGGAATGTCACTAACTTTTTGCAGGGATACCCTTGAACCACAGTCCTCCAGACTCTACCTACCAAGTACCTGGGATTGCAGGTGTGGGCCATCGCACATCACCCATTGGATTGTGTTCTTTTTGTGTTTAATTTTGGGCCACTATATATTCTAGATATTAATCGTTTATCTGACAAATAGCTAGAAAAGATTTTATCCCATTCTGTAGACTGTCTCTTCATTCTGATAATTGTTTCCTTTGCTGTGCAAAACCTTTTTATTTTGATACAATCCCATTTGTCAACTCTTGCTCTTATTTTCTGAGCAATTAGAGTCCTATTCAGAAAGGTTCCACCTACATTTCCTCTAGTAGCTTCCCCTGTGTTTTCCTCTATTAGTTTCAAAGTTTTGTGCCTTACACTTAGGTCTTTGATCCATTTTGAATTGATTTTTGTATAGGTGAGAGATAGGGAACTAGTTTCAGTCTTCTACATGTCCATATCCAGTTTTCCCAACAACCTTTTGTTGAAGAGGTTGTCTTTTTTCCAAAATATGTTTTTTGGCACCTTTATTGAAAATCAGATGACTGTAGCTGATTTTCTGAAGTTCCTGTCTATTCCATTGGTCTATATATCTGCTTTTGTATATAATATGCTATCTTTGTTACTATAGCTCTGTAGTAAAATTTGAATACAGCTATTGTGATACCTCTAGCATTGCTCTTTTTGTTTAAGATTGCTTTGACTATTTGAAGTCTTTTGGGCTTCATATGAATCTTAGGATTGATTTTCCTGTTTCTGTGGAAAATTATATTGGAATTTTGATGGGTATTGCATTGGATCTGTAGAATTCTTTTAGTAGTGTGTCCATTTTAACAATATTAATTCTGCTGATCCATGAACCTGGAAGATCTTTTCACCTTCTAGTATCTTCTTCAATTTTTTTTTTTGGTATTTTATGCTTTTCATTGTAGAAGTCTTTTACCTCCTTTGTGAGGTTTGTTCTTAAATATTTAATTTTTTGAGGCTATTGTGAATGGGATTATTTTCTGGCTTTCTTTGTTCATTATTGATACACAGAAAGGCTACTGATTTTTTTATGTTGATTTTGTAGTTGACTACTTTGTGAAAGTGTTCATCAGATCTATGAGTTTTTGGTGGAGTCTTTAGGGATTTGGAGGGGATTTCTAAATATAGGCTATCATCTGTAAATTGGGATAATTTGGCTTCTTCCTTTCCTATTTGTATCCCTTTTCTTTCTCTTGCCATATTACTCTTAAGAATTCAAGCAATATATTACTAAGAGCGGAGAGAGTGGACACCCTTGTCTTGTTCCTGACTTTAGAGGGAATAGTTTCAGTTTTCTCCATTTAGTACAATGTTGGCTATAGGTTTATCATATATAACCTTTATTATGTGGAGGCACATTCCTTCTACTCCTAATTTATTCAGGGATTTTGGTCATGAAGGGACATTGAATTTTGTTCCATGATCATGTGATTTTTCTACTTTATTTTGTTAATGGGCTATATTACATTTATTGATTTGCGTATGGTCCATGGAATGAAACCAACTTGATCGTGGTGTATAATCTTAGCATTGGTGTTAGTTATTCTTTTAAAGTCTGGTAGAATTCAGCAGTGAATTCATCTGGTTGCATACTTTTCTTTATTGGGAGAGTCTATTACTGCTTCTTTTTCATTATTTGTATAATTCTCTTTAGGTGGTATATATCTTCTTAGTTCAATTTTGGTAGCTGACATGTATCTAGGAATTTATCTGTTTATTCTATACATGTTTTATGTTCAGTAGTGTTTGCTTTTTGAACACCAATGTACTGTGTGTATATACTTACCATTGCTATATACTTTTCATGTATTGTTCCCTTTATCAATATGAAGTGACTTTGTCTCTTTTGATTAATTTTGGTTTGACGTGTTTTGTCAATAGCTACTCTGGTTCCTTCTGGGCCCCTATGCTTGGAATACCCTTTTTTTCCATCCTTTTTCTTCTAACCTTTTTGTAATTGCCAGTAAGATGCATTTTGTGTAGGCTACAAATGGTTTGGTCTTGCTTTCTAAACCAGTCTGTGTCTTTTGGAGAATTGAGACCATTAACATTGAGAGTTATTAATGAAAAGTATAGCTATTCCTGCCATTTTCGTGGTTTCATAGTGCTTGATTCTTCCTAGCTCCTCATTTACTTATCTACTCATCTAGTGAGATTTTTTTTCTTTCCTGAATTTCTGTGGTTGTATTTATCTTTCTCATCTGTGTGTAGGATTCCTTTAAGTAGTTTCTACAGTGGTAGTTTAGTGATCATAAATTGCTCTAATCTTTGTTTATCATGGAAGATTTTTATTTCTGTTTCAACCATGAAAGGGAGCTTTTCTGGGTAAAATAATCAAGTTGGTAGTCATTTTCTTTCAGAGCTTGAAATACATTGTTCCCTGCCTACCTTGCTTTTAAAGTTTACTTTGAGAAATCTGCTCTTATTCTGATGGATTTGCCTTTATAGGTGATTTGATGCTTTAATCTTGCAGCTTTCAATATTCTTTGTTTGTTCTGTCTGTTTTAACTATAATATGATATGGAGAGGTTCTTTTCTGATCTTGTCTGTTAGGAGTCATAAAAGCCCCTTGAGGATACCTGGATAACCATCTCTTTCTCGAGATTTAGGAAGTTTCTGCTATTATTTTATTGAATATGTTTTTGATGCCTATAGCATGCACCTCTTCCCCTTCTTCTATGCTTATGTATCACAGCTTTGGCATTTTGGTATTTTTATTGATGGTACGTACAGAGGTCTTGCATGTCTTATTCATACTTCTTTAGTTTTTTACTTAATCTTCATCAGCCTGTTCTAATATATCTACCTTGTCCTCAAGCCCTGATATTCTCTTCAATTTGATCCAGTCTAATGAAGATACTTTCAATTGTGTTTTATATTTGACTTGCTAAGATTCTCATTTCCAGAATTTCAATTTAATTTTTCTCAGAATATCTATATCTTTATTGAATTTCTCTTTCATGTCTTGCATTGTCTTCCTTATATCAGTCAACTGTTTTGAGTTTTCTTGAATTTCATTCAGGAATTAATTTGTCCCCTTTAATTTTACTGATTAGTCTTGTAATTTTTAAAAATTCTTTGAGATTTCATCCACTTCACTGTCAGTGTCTTTTACTGTGGAGTTGAGTTTTGAAGGAGTCATGTTGCCTCATTTTTTTCATATTTCTTATGTTTCTGCATTGGAACTTGCACATCCGAGGTCAAGTTGTTTGTTGAAAGCTTCCTGTAGCCTTTCAGTTGCAATATTTTCAATGTTCAAGCAGGAAAATGTAGTGGGCAAGCTGAGGTTCCATTCCTCACCATTAGACTGGCAGTATGACTCAGTAGGCAAGCATTCACCCACATTCTCAGGACACTGGGCCTAGTCCCCAGCACAGCTCAGACTGAGGTAAACTAGCTGGGATCTCTAGTAAGAGGGTCAGTTGTCTACTTCTGGAATGCCTTCATTAAAGAAGTTTCCCCTTTTTGTGTACTGGTAGCCACTCCTGGCTGCAGGGATCTTTGTAGCCTACGGGCCTGGCAGGTTCCTACTTTCTCCATAAGCCCCCCAGTTTGTGTCAGTAGGGCAGCAAGAAGAGACTATAAAGTAAGAACAGTGGACAGAATTAACTATCCTGAGGAATCCCAACGTTGCAGGATAAAGAGGAAAAAAGAGGAGCGCACGGAGAAGTCTGAACAAAAAAGACTCACAAAAGCAGGAAGAATGCCAGAATCAAAGATACTCATAGAAAAGCCATTCAAAGACAACATGAAGTAAGTCACCCTATGGAATTGTTGGTTTAGAAAAGTAAATGTACCCAGGTGTGGTAGCTCAACTTGTAATCCTAGCTACATGGAAGGCAGAGATCAGGAGTATCACAGTGCAAGGTCAGTCCAGGCACAAAGTTCATGAGACCCCATTTCAATCAACATCTGAGCATGATGGAGCACATATGTCATCCCACTGTGACATATTCCAATTAGGAAGCACAGATAGGAGGATCATAGTCCAGGCCAGCCCAGGCATCAAGGAAGACCCTATCTCAAAAATAACTAACTCAAAAATAGCTGGAGGCTTACATGGTAAAGCATCTGCCTGGCAAGTGCAAGGCCTTGAGTTCAACCCCCAAGTACTGCCAAAAAAAAGCAAATGTGGAAAGTTGTTATAACAATGCTCCAGTGTACCATGCTTCCTGTTGTTCATAATACTTTGCAACTGGAATTGCTGCTACTCCAATCAAGATGTGGAATCTACTTCTCCACTCATTGAATCTAGAAGTAAAAGTGAAATTGTTCAGGTTCTAGAGTCTAGAACTTAAAAAGCTCCTCAGCTTCCCCCCCACACTTAGAACTGAGAGACTACCCTGCTGTAAAGCAGCCCAATACAGCCTACTAGAAGAGAATAGGCCATATGGAGGAGAAACAAAGTGCCCTGAAAAATAACTAGCACTAGCTGCCAAATCTGTGAGTAGAGACATCCTGGACCCTCCAACCCCCAGTGAGCTGTGAGATGACTGCAAACACATGAGGGATCCCAGGGAAGATCAAAAATAAAATCATCTAGATTATTTATCCCCCACAGAGCCATGGAGAATAAGAAACCATTGTTGTTTCAAGCCACTAAATTTTAGGATGGCTTGTTACTCAGCAAAAGCTAACTGGAACAGAAAATCAGCACCAAGTATGGGTAACATCCACAGCAAAAAGTAGAATTGTGTGACATTAGTTTGGGGACTGAGTGGTTGGCAGAGGCCAGAAGAGCAGTAAGAAGACAGTGAGTGGAAGCTGAAGAACAGGGAAAAATGTTCTGTGGGAGGCTGGAGGGAAGCAGCTGTGCCATGAAAAAGCAGCACGGTCAACATGACTGTCACCTGAAGCAACTTAGAAGGTAGAAACTGTTCCTAATGGATCTGCTAAGGAGATTTCTAGCTTTATGATATTCTAGGTATATTAAAACTGTTAATTGTTTTAGTTCCTTATATGAGAGATAAAGCAAAGAGAAGTTCAGTCTGCAGGCAAAATTTATAGAAAATATAGAGGCCATGATTTTTTAGCTTGAGAACTAAACCTGTTTCTTATCTGTAATTTCTCCAGTTGGCAAAAGATGTAGGTATAAAGATCAAATCCGAGTGCTGCCAATAAAATATGGCTTCTGCTTCGAGATCAGTTCAAAGATGTGTCTAAAGATACTTTTTAAAGCCACTGAACAATTCACAAAAGAAAGGAAGAAGGAATTTATAGATTAAAAGAGACTTAAAAGAGGAACAGTGAATTACCATGTGTGGACTTTACTGGAATCCAATTTGAAAATATAAATTGCAAAAATAAGCATTTATCATACTTATAGGATAACTGAAGTTTTTATTGACTCAATATTTGATATTATTGGGCAATTATTAATTTTAGGTACAGTATTAGTATTTTTAAGACACTCTGAAATTTAGAGATGCATACTGTGTATATCGTTACAGATGAAGTGACATGACACCTAGGATTTGTTTCAAAGTATCAAAGAAGGTGGGGAGTGACTGAGGATGCAGGTCAGACAGGACTGGGGGTGTGTACAGTTTTTAAGGCTGAGTGATGGGTACATGGGAATTTATTACACTGTTCTGTGTATGTTAGGAATTCTTTTTAAAGAATGAGAAAAAAAGGAACTCTGGTCATAATAAATATACTATATGCTTATTATATTGAGTAAAATTTGTCCTATTAATATAACCCTAATTTAAAATATGTAATTTGATAAGTTAATTTAAATTTGATTTTACCAAGTAATTTTCTTATGTTTATATTAGAACATGTAAAATATCAGCATTAAAATAGTTGAGAGAATTTTTAGTTCACCACATTTATTTTAACTATAAGCATTTAAGAGAATTTTGTATAAAAGGAACTCAAATATGTTAAATTTATAAAAAGTAATTTCAGCCAAGTGTGGTAGTACATGCTTGTAATCCCAGCACTTGGGAGTTTGAAGCAGGAAGATAACAAGCTTGAGGCCAGCCTAAGCTACACAGTGAGCCCTTGTTGCAAAACAAGCAAACAAACAAACAAATAAAAAAAAACAGTGTCAGATATTTAATGTTGCTGCTTAATTATCTAAGTGTGAAAATGGTACCAATCATTATTCTAAGGACCCTTAAAGTGATGGCTAAAATTTGTTAGTCTTAGAAACAGATTAATAAGGTTTGTGACTTAAATTTAAAGCATATGGAAGAAGGGTTTTATTTTGTTTTGTTTAAACTTTAATAAGTCATACATTAATTTTAATAACCCATAGGCTATCAGAAGGCAAGAAAACATTTTCTATAACCTGAAAATCATAATTAAGGTTTAAGGGCATTACAAGAAAAAAATTTAAAGCAAATTACTTGAACAATACCAACCATTTGTATTATAGCTACATGTAATCTGGCCTCTTCTATTAAAACTTCATCAGTTGGAGACGACTCTTTCTCATCATGTGAGACATAGGAAAGCAGAGCACCTTCAGACTAAGTTTTAAAACATAAAGAGATAAAGTTAAAATAAGTAAAAATGATGAGAAGGTAGCAAATGCTATGCTCAACGAGGATTTCAGTAATTCACATCAGAATTTCTGAGACTATGTTAAACTTGGGAAATTTCTTTCTGTGTAAGATTGTTGTTCTCAATTGAGGTGAAATTTATTTCTGTAGGGAGAGTGAGAGGGCAAACTCTTTGCCAAACCTTTCTATGCCTAACTGCTCTCTGGTTCAGCCTGTGTTTTCAGCTTTCCATAATACTTATTATACAGGAAGAGATCCTTCAGTATCTCAACCCACCAGAAACATCATCTTGGCACAGGTCAATGATTGCTACTTAACCAGCAAATCAGGCTGATCACCAAGACCTTCTCTTTAGAGAAAGTGCTCAAAGAAATCATTTCACCAAGATAACAAATCTAATAGATATTCCCCACCCCTTCGGTTTTATGATGTTTATTTAGCAGAATCAGGTTTTTTAAAACATCAATTCAGGCAAGTCAGGCAGACCTAGAGAGGGGGAATGAAGACTGTTTTTTCCGCCAGGGATCAACTCACAGGAATGTATTGAATCTTTGATTTTTCTTCTACTATAGTCCAATTAACATTTGTCAAAATTTTTTCTGTTTTAAATAATGTTATTGTGTTCTGGATTATCTCCTGTATATGCTGAATGATATTTTGCATGGCCATTTGTCTTGGGAGGGAAATAGCACACAAACCTGCAATAAAAAAAGGAGAGGGCCTTAACAGAGTATCCACCACAGCTTCTCCCTCTCCCTGTCACCAATGATCTCATTCCAGATTTGTCTATTTAATGTGTCTATTTGTGATTTTATTATATTTGTCTGTTTTAGTATAAATGATTTCAAATTCCTTTCATATTTAATAAAGTGTTCCCATTTGTGATTTTATTGTATCTATGCATATTTTTATTACCAGGCTCAGATTCCTTTTAGGACTAGGCAATGGTGGCAGAGCCTGGGGATTGTCTCCCATTATCCATTCTTTCCTTCTTACTTTCACCAATAGAATCTCTTAGTCAAGCACATGACCAGCCAGGAAATGATAAGAGGTCCTAGGTTCCTTCACCCATGTGTGCTCACGTAATTAAGTTATGGTCAGTGCCATCACTTAAAAAGGAAGATGTTTACCTTCCACACCCCACCCCAGTTTCTCCTTTCTACTTCATTGTATTGTAGACACGGTGATAATGAGCACGGATTTGTCTGCAGACAAGAGAAACAGCCTATGGAATGGAGGGGCAACAAAAGAAAAGGAACCGGGACCCCTGGAAAGCTTATTGTAGCCTAACCATCCCACTCTTCAGGACTTTTCAGTGGAGGAGGAATGTAGTTTCTCTGTCTTGTATAAGCTTCTGTTCACTTGGTCATGTTAAATCTATTGAACCAATATCCCAATTAATACAGGATTTATATATAATAAATGGATGAAAATAACTTCCTTGAGCTCCATGAGGAATGTCTGCATGGCTAGGCATTGGTAACTCATGTCTGTAATCCTAGCTGCTTGGGAGACTGAAAATGGGAGAATTGTGGTTTGCGGTCAGCAAACCTCATCTTCAAAATAACCAGGTCAAGATGGACCGACAGCCCTGAGTTCAAACCCCAGTCCCACCAAAAAAATAAATAAATAACCTATTTGTATTTTTCCCTAGTTAATTACTAAATAATACATATACTTTACCTAATGTCCTAGCTGACTCAGTCATCATGTATGAATTTATTCCCAGAGTCAACAATGATATTACTTGTACATAGAATAAAAACTAAAAACAAAGCATACGAATGGTTAGAACCAAAATATTAAATAAGCTTTTCAAAGATAATCATTGTACATTTAATTGCCAACAAAATTCTATTTTAATCCAGATTTTTTAATCCTGTCTCTGATAAAACTGAGGCAAAAAGGGCTTATTTTGTGAACACCGCTTGAATGTAACATACTGGAGCAGAAATTAATTTTCATTCTGAATGAGGAAAAAATGACTGTGTTATTCTGCAATAAGGACACTGAGAGATGAGCTCTCCAGAGTTGCTACCTCAGACAACAGTCAAACAAGGTGGTAGCCATCACAGACAGGGCTATAGAATCCACAGGGTAGGAAAAACCCTAGCAACAGCAGGCAGTGGTGACTACAGTCTAGATAGGATGTGCACCTGCCACCAATGATTACCGCAGCTATACAAGAGGCCCCAAAGGAGCAGGCAGGAACTGTACAGGAGTCTGGGGAGGCACCATGAGAGACAAAAAGACAACCACATTTGTAAGCCTTGACTTTGCCATTTATTACCCATGTGGTTTAGAGCTAGTTAACTAAACCCCTTTGAGCCTCAGTGCCCCTCACTAGAAAACAGAGTTAATAGTAACATCTCCTTCAGAATGTTTCTCCAAATTGACTGACGACAGCCACCTGAAGTATTTGTTAAACATCTGACTCCCAGGTCCTTTCCTAGAGATTGTGAGGGATAGAGCAAAAGGCATTCTTAACATCAGATGGAATTAAGAAACACTATAAAGTCATACCCAAAATGTTAGTTAAAGTCTCATTGACTTGGTTGAACACCAATTCATTGGATAAAAAAAAAAGAACTGAAAAAATTCAACAGTTGGATGCAGTACTTTTCCTTTGGAGCAAGGAAGGACCCAAAGTCTTTACAAAACTACAGGCTTACTTGATGTCCAAATTAATTCCCAGACCAGGCCCACAGATAATAAGTGTTCAGGAAAGATGTAGTGAGAAATATGATATTCCATCAAGAAAAGAACTTCCTCTTTGGAGAGTTAGGGTACTTGAGTTTTTTCCCTATCATCTATCTTTGCTTTCATTTCTCCACATGCAAGATGGAGAGGTTGATAGTTTCTTCCAAAAAGAAGGTATTCAACAAACGCTGTACTCTTTGGGCCTTCAGGACAGGAGCAAAATAGCAAAGAAGAGAATATTCTGGGCTGGACATCAGCTTTGGGATTCTCAGTAAGTAAGAAGGTAGTCTAAGGTCATCTTATGCAAGCCTTTTCCTCCCTCCCAAGGGCAGGTTTGAGGTTTATCTGACTGGGAAGCTGAGAGGAATGGATCAGGAGTTACCAAGCAACTTCTCTACTAACTCACACACTACTGTCACAAATGATGAGATGCAGGGGCTGTGGTAGTAGTTCGAGGGCCCAAGTGGTTGCTTTGCATGCTCAAATTCCTGAGTTCAATCCCCAGCACTGTAAAAATAGACAATGAGGTGCCCTGACACTGCCAGCAAGGGAACTGGGCTCTTTGGACCTGACCTAGAGTGTCAGCACCACAGACGCTATACCACCAGACTACCCATCAATCTATCAGCTAGCCCCGGGATGGAGAGGAGGCTTTGAGAAAGAGTGGAAAGGAAACAAAGTCTTATTTTTCACTACAGATAATGGAGTCTTTGACCAGAAATTTTTTCAGTGAACCCTGAAGACATAAATATAACAAGATCCTTAATGCAACCATTTATAAAAATTTTTCTTCCCTTGGTATACTTAACTAGCATTTCAGTTTCTGTTCTAACAGCTATAGGGATTGTGATGTTCCCCTTAAGGGTATTGGGTTGTTTTTTTTTTTTTTCATGCTTTCTGACAGCTATTGAAAACGTGTATTTGTGTGCTCAATAATATTTATTGAGTATTTATTAACTGTCAGGAATTTTACTAAGCATCATTTCAACTGGAAATTGAGGCTCAGCAAAGCTGGAGAACTTCCCCCAAGGTCACCCAGCCTGTGAATGGCAAGATTGGAAGCCTAGTCTAATACTCCTGACCATAAACACTACATGAATGCTGGTCCCTTCCACACTCTCACTGTAAATAAACTTTTCTCCTGAGATCCTTTCTACTTGAAAGAATGCATTCTAAAACCTAATTCAAAACAGGTTAACTTTTTTATCAGGTGTGGTAACAAGTGTTACAAAATAAGTAAAAATGAATACATGTAAACAATCATGAGACATGATTTTTTCCTACCATATGTGGTGCCTCATCTTTGTGTTCAGCCAGATTGTAAATATTAGGAGCCAAGAGTAAGTTAAAAACACCTCTAATTCCAGACCACGTAATAACAATTCCCCATCGCCAATTATAATCATAACTTGCATGGGTCAAAATAGGGCTCACTAAAAAAATAGTAAGCCACCTGTGGAAAGAAAAATATTAAAAATAAATCACAGCTTATATATTAATCTTATTCATTGCTGAAACCATGTACTCAATACTAAATTACATATAAAATTTTTCAAGAAGGAGAAGACATTGTAGTTTGTAGTCATTCAAATTTAGTCATTCAAATTTTCAAATTCAATGTTACAATTTAGACATTGTAGTCATTCAAATTTTCTGGGGCCAATCAAGTCTACTATCTAAATTTTGTACATGACGTTCAATCCTTGAAAATAATGCTAGAAGTTCTATACAAATATAATACACTATTGTAAACTGTTTGCATTTAGATAATAAATGCCTGCCTAGAAACTTCTTCAAAGAACATTGACAAGATCATCTGTTCCTGGACAGGTTAAAAAATAACTGAATTCAGAAATTAGTAATGATTACTATACCCACACCTTCCCAGTTCTTTGTCATGATTACTATACCCACACCTTCCCATGTTCTTTGTCTGAAGTGACTCTTCTCAACAAACTTCAACAATTCTCTTATAGAAAGCCCATCCATATTTTGAGGGCCCACAAAAGATGATTCTGTCTGGCAAACCCTTTCTTGTGAGGTGGAACCATTACTTCAGCAAGGTCTCTGGCACTTGCTAGCAATTTCACTTTGAGCAATATACTTAACTTTTCTTGGCTTATTTCTTCATCTATAAAATGATAATAAATTCTTATCTCCTAGTGGTGTTATGAAGGTAAAAATGAGATAATGAGATGTATGACTGAGTCAAACAATATACAAGAAGGCATGTATCTTCCTTCATATTCTGACCAAAGTTAACAAGCATGGGTGATGGAATTTGGACCTAGAAATAAGCAATAAGCATAAATACATAAATCATGCTAGGAAGGAAAAACTAATTTAAAAAATTATTTTTAAAGAAGTCCAGGCATAGAGACAGAAAGAGAGATGATCAAATGGCTACTGATTTGACAGGAACATAGGTACAGCAGGTGTGCACCAGCACAGATGGGACAGGGGATGGAAGTGGCATGTTGACAGAGCTGTAGACAGTGACTTTGGAGTCAGTAGAGGCAAAATTCCATGAGAATATCTTATAAAATAAGCTCCCTTGGCCACCATCTTGTATGGAGATGATGCTGTCATGAATTCTTATGGAAGACACAACTATCAGGAGCAGGCAACAGCATTTTAAAAGCATGAAATCCCAATTCTGTCTTTAGAAGTAGGGTGCCCCTAAGCAAACTTTCAAGCTCTCTGGGATTCACCTGTGAAATGATGCAATAATACCTATCTCATCAATTATATTCATATTAATGACATTTTGTACATGGTAAGTGTTTAATAAATGACTTTACCATAGATATCGATTATAATAAATGATGATGAAAGTAAACAAGTGTTAAGAGTCATTAATATAGTTGAGTGGTGCTCAAAGATTAACCTTGAATCAGAGATAGCTAGAGAACACATTAAAACTGTTTCCTTGATCTCACCTCCAGAGACTCAACTCAGTAGAATCAGTGGAGATAGGCCCATGAATTTGTATTTCTATCAAACTCAAGGGCAACATCTATGCTGATGCTACATGTCTACCCTCTCTCATTTTACAGAGGAAACTTTGAAAAACAAACTTTTTTCCCAGGTTGCCTAGCTGGTCACTGTCAAGGCCTGGGCAACAATGCAGGCTTTCTGAGTCCATGTCCACAATGGGTTTTTTTCTTTTTCTTTTTCCATAGTCCATTGCTTCCCAATTCTAATTCCAGGCTTAAAAACATCTAAACTCAGTAAGACAAACTTTTAAATGTAATTACCTTACAAAATTCACTGTTGCAAATAAGATGAAAATGAAAACTGCAGTGTGAAATCTAAAATACTTGATTTCTCCACAACCAATCACAATGCCAAAGAAGGTGTATATTAAATGTTCATATACAGATGAAAACATTATTAAGAATCTGGATGAATAAAAAGAAAATGACATTTTAAACAGTACATTTTAAAGCGATTTTCTTTTTCACATAAAAGCATCTATGTTATATCTATCATATAGTCTCAGTGGAGGCCCTTGCCTTCAGCACTATTACAGTCAACAACGAAAAGTACTTTTGTTGGATCTAAAGGCACCTGGTTCATAATCCGCGTCATCTTCATCATATCTGAATTCATGGGCTGCCTCTCACAACAGAATAGCAAGAGCAAAGCAGAAAAATGAGAGCCTCTCCAAGTTGGTGATTTATCAGTTTCTCCAGGATTAGCTTGCACCTTATCAATAGTAAGAACTGCCCAGCTAAGCCCAGAGGTGGTTGCAAGAAGGTACCTGATTAACTTTGTATGATCACCCAGTGCCTCTACAGAACTTTTCCCACTGTGAACTGCATGTGCTTCTCTTACTTGATGTCTCTCCTGTAGGCTTTACCATCTACTGAATTCATAAAAGTCTTGTAAACCTAACTCTAAACCCATTTTCTCCATGAAACCGTCCTAAGTACTGTAGCAGGAAGTGAGCCTCTTGTATCCCTGCAGTGCCAATTGTCTACAGCACCATGGTTAAACAGAAGCTATCTCAGATCAGTTCCTAAAACTCTGCAAACTCAGCTCCACACCCAGTAGGGCTGAACACAGTGGTTAGGATATGGGGCTGAGGTCTCAGCAAGGTACATGTTCTTTTCTGCCAGGTTCCTGTGCTAGCATGCATGAATCAGGACTACATGTGACTTCAACAAGGAGATCTCAAGTCTTGCCTCCTCTTGATTCCCTCTTTTGAGACCTTTCCTTTCAGCTGTCTGCCCCACAAGTCAATCTCCTACAGGAAGATCTCAAGATCTACACTCAGAAAGAAGCAGATTGTTTAGCTGCAGATAAACAATACTCTGTTATACACCTTATCCCGGCCAAGCACAGTGTGATTCTGCTGGGGATTCCTATCTCTTGTTTCAAGCCGGTGCTTAACTTTCAGATGTCAGGGAATGACTGAGGAACTGTAAACGTCTAAAAATTTCTCCACAGGACCTTAAAAATGCCTTGCATATAGTAAGATTCCAATAAATACATACTTTTCATACTTATTAAGTTTATTATATAAACATGTATGCCATTTTACAATGAGCACCTTCTGAAAAGTAGCTTATTTCCATATATCTAAACCTAAAATGCAAAATCTAGGCCATAGCACACTTTAAAAAAGGATTGGTTGGATGGGTGAAAGAATAAAGGATTGAGTGGGCAGAATGAGTAATTTAGAATGATGCTGACAGACATCTCAGGAAACTGTCCAAGTCCAGAATGCAACACCAAGCATATGCTTCATGAAATAGTCCCAAGCTTCTAAATTCAAAAACCAATGAAACGCCATTCATATATGCATAAAACTACAATAGTTATAGGTACCACATAGAAAAGAATTACCACCCTCTATCACTGGAATGTCATAAAAGAAAGGACATTTTAACATCAAAAAGTAAGAAGGACTTTATTTTAGAGCAATGGATTAATAGTCTTTTATACTAAATAAATTTTCCTGGGAAAAGTGAGAAATAAGGATAATTTTTTTCATTTCAACATTTGCTTTTTATTTGGTGTTACTTGATGTCCGCTAATTCTGCAACAATTCTGTAACTTAGCACAGTCTCTTAGAGAAGGTCTAAGATATTTATCTGAGAAGACAAGCAATGGTTTTCCCCATCCACAGTTGTTCACATGACATTTTGCAGTACCAGGTAGAAATGGCTGGGTAAGCATTTTGCTGGTGTTGCATCTTTCTGACACTTCTTTTCTTTTTTTTCTATATTAGGATACCATCATTTAGGTGTATTATGAAGGAAATAAAGGGAAATGGCATTTTTTTTTAAATCCACAATTCAAAGTTAAATTCTAGCAAAGAGTTATGTACAAAAACCACTATGGTCTCTGAGACACTGAAACTTCATTCATAATAGGAATATCAATTAATGTCAATAATTATTGGTATTGTAAGTTCCTTCCAAATATAACTGATAGAAAAATTTAAATTTAAAGGTAGAAAAAAGTTACATAAAAGGAGTTTTATTAACATCCACTAAAAGACCCCTTAAGCACTAAACATGAAATCTATACCAAACACAATAAAAGACTTACTTGGTAATTATGAACTCCATCTTTGGTTTAAAGCTTAAGGAATCTAAATTCAGTCCTACCGTAACCAGAGCAACAGTGCCTGACATTCCAAAAAATTCCACTGGAGAGGGAAAAAATGAATAAAATTAAATACATTTAACTCTGCACACTGGGTTTTTTGAGTGAAGAATTGGTAAAAAACTTGACAGTAGTATTTCTTACTCAGAAAGTTGCTTCAGAGGATTGGCTTAATGCTACAGACCAGGGGCCAGCAAACTCTCTGTAAAGGGATGAATGGTAAATATCTAGTCTTTGTGGGCCAAATGGCACCTGTCATGACTACTTGATTCAGTTGTTGTGTTGCAAAAGTAGTCACAGATAATATGACCAATAAAACTTTATTTATAGGCACTGAAATTTGAATTTCACCTCACAAAATATTTTTCTTTTGTTTTGTTCTTTTTAAAAACCATTTTCAAGGCCAACAGTATGTCTAAAAATAAGCAGATTTGACCCAGTTTACCAACCCCACATCATCATTGAAGGTAGAGCCACTGAAAGAATAAGTTTAGTAATCTCTGCTCGGCACCTCAGGGACTTGTGCTGCATGTGCTGAGAGTTGTGGGCCAACCTCAGTGCTTCCTCTAATTACAGCTCCTGAAGCCTGCTTCACTTTCACCTCCCTAAATGAAATGGTAGATCACTAGGCTCTACAAAAACATGTTAATAGTCTGAGGCAGGAAAGGCCACCATGAAGAATGTTTGAATACAACAAATATCAAGTCTTAGATGCAAGGCCTTCAAATAGCACATTATAAACAGCAGGCAGAGAGAAAGACAAAGAATGTGAAAGGGTGAAGTAGAAGAGTTTTGGAACAGAGCAAAGCTAGTTGCTCTTGGGATGTGACCTACAATTTCTCCCTTACTGTCACTGCATCTATAAAATAGGTATAGAATAATAACTCCTCATATAGCTGTTGTGAAAATTAAACTAGAATTTGGCACACTGTATAGCAAGGAATAAATGATCCTCACTGTTATTATGCTATCCATTGTTTTTACCTATTCACTCTATTGCTTAGTAATACTTATTAATACTTAGTACTTATTAATATTGTTTATTAAAGGGGATTTTATTATTCCTTTCACTTATCTACTCACTGAAGTTCACTTCAGACTTCTTCTTATCTTCTTTTTTATTGACTGAATTTAATTTAAATAAATTAAATTTATTTACTGACAGTAAAACCAGTAGTGTTCTAAGGCTGTGATGATAGGGAAACTGTCTCAAAATCTTATTTTCAATTCTTTAATAATTAGTACATACTGGATTTTAAGTGCACTTTTTCGGTAGTACTGGAGAGTGAACTCAGGGCTTAACATTTACCAGACAAGTATTCTACCCTTCAAGCCACTCCCCAGTCCTTTGGTAAATATTTGATTAGAACTGAATTAAGCTAAATTGATCAAGATTTTTGGATGCATACCTAAATGAGCAAATGGAATCCATACTGCTTAATTAGATGATAACTCCATCTCAATGTGAAAAATTGTATGTCAGGACCAGGAATCATCTAATATGGAAATGATTCTAAAAGACTGTAAGGAACCCCATCCTGCCCCTTTATCTTCAATCCACACCCATTTGCATCTGTTTAAGAAGAGGCCAACCACTGACTGGAAACATCACCATTTCTAGAAGGGAAGAGGAAAGGAACCAACATTTACTAACTGCCCTACTTTGAGCCCAGTAGTATATGGGTAAACATTTAAAACCAACTCTTTGGGGGGCAAATTTTCTATATCCTTATTTGTCATGTCTTCCAATAGCCATGGGGCAAAGACTCCCACCATGGCCAATTGCTGGCTACCCAATGAAGTCACTTGAATAGAGGTGGGAGGAGATGTGCCCAATCAGCACTTGCGAGCCCCTGAGAACTACCTCTAGCTCACCAGCGTAAGTCTCATCACACACACTACTTCATCAGTGCCTGCAGTGCCCTCTTCATATATAATATTCTATCACTGAAGAAACTGAAGCTTAGAGAGGTTAAGTTATTTTCCAAGGTGATCAAACTGATAAATTGTAGAGCTAGGATTTGAACACAAGTCTGATTAGCCCAAAACCCCTTCAAGTGATAATATCAGTTTATTCAACCAACATGTGGTTAAATTACTATCAGGCATATTGCAAACTGTTGAGTGTGGCTGAGGGGAGACAGAACAGAGAATAAGTAAAAAGACAACCAAGAGACAGCCTTCTCCCCAAGGAACTCACAGTTTGATAGGGAGACAGAGAGACCAAATTGATGGACTGGAGGTATGGCTCAAGTGGTAGAGTACCTGCCTCTCAAGCATGAAGCCCTGACTTCAAACCCTAGCCATGCCAAAAAGGGGGAAAAAAAAGGCCAAATTAGCTTTTCTTCAAGGAGTTAATGAATCCACAAAAGCCTCACAGAGGAGAAAATAAATGTGGAAAGGTGAAGGAAATGAACCTTTGGTGAATGTCTATAACTTTATTGATTCAGGGCAGTGCACAACCCCTAGGTGGTAACTTGTCTGTAGAGGAAGCAATGCTTTTCTGTAACTGGAGGTGAAGACAAGAGGTATCTGTTGATACCTGAGGTCTTTCATGAATGGAAACTGCTTCACTGTGAGATGAGATCAAAAGCAGAAATTGACAGTTTAGACACCATTACTGTGCCTCTTGGGACCTGGTTACATCATTCTGGCCAGTAAACAATTTAATTCCCAATTTTACAGGACTGAACTAACTGATGTTCCACCACTGTTGGGCTCTTACTCCTCTTACTCTCCTGCTTCTCTTCCAGACATAAATGTGCCTAATTTCTCCCTCTCCTTTCCTACTTCCTAAACTCAGAAAAGGGCCACCATTGCAGCAGCCTCCTCAGTTTATCACCCATTGAACTCAAGGTTGTTGAGCTGGAAAAGACCTCAGGAGCATCTCTCATTTTGCAGATGGGTTTCTCAGGGTCAGAGTAAGAATGAGCTCAGTGTTGGTTCTTCTTCCAGGGGACTGCCATTGACTACTGGTAAGGTCAAAGAATAGAGCTCCAAAAGAAAAAGAGAGCCGAGCATCAGTGGTTCACACCTGTAATCCTAGCTATTCGGGAGGCAGTGATCAGGAAGACAAAGGTTTGAAGCCAGCAGGGGCAAATAGTTCATGAGACTCTATCATCTCAAAAATACCCAACACAAGAAAAGGACTGACAAAGTGGCTCAAGTGGTAGAGTGCCTGCCACCATGTGAGAAGCACTGAATTCAAATCCACCCCTCAAGCAAAAGAAAGTAACCATAGAGATGAACCTGAAGAGGAAGAGAAATAGCAACAAGGAGGTTATTAAGAGAGAACAGGAAAGAGCTAGAGGTGACAGTAAAATAATCTGACAAGACACATGGAGGGACCACAAAAAGAAGGGAGCTGTTGGGAAAAAATAACTGGAGTTAAGAGAAGGGCAAAAATCAAGATTTATAGAGTAACTTTGAAGATAGCATTTGGTGGGGGGGGGGCTTTGTTTCTGCCTTACCAAAGTAGAAAGTCATGTACACCATTGAAAAACAGAGAACAACATTCGTTAGTGTATTGCTAAAAAGGTTGGTCAATATAAACTGAATGACTCTTGCACAGCAATATCCACATATTATGCTTCCAAAAATGTCCAAGAGGAGTCCCAGGACTACATGTAATTCTGAAAAAAAGAAAGAAAGTGAGTAAGTAAGGAGCAAAAAGTTGAGCTGTCACGTCAGTTTCTTTCACTGATGTCACTTTGGTTTGCTTTTTTTTTTTTCCTTTATTTTTATTTATTTTTCACTATCATATTATTATTGTACTGGGGGGGTATATTGTAAGATTTACAAAAGTTCTTACAATATATCATAATCGAATTCACCCCCTCCATCCTTCTTCTTTATTCTCCCCTCCCTGGTTTGCTCTTGAGATTTTGTTCTTCAGCAGATAAAAGTGAACCAAGAAAGCCAGACAAAGAGGCTGTCTTAGGCTATCCTTCCAGTTCAGTCTGCAACTTGAGGTTTACCTATCCAAGGACAGAAGATTTAAATGTCTTCAGAGGGCAGGCAAGGAACATAAATGTGAAAAACTTATGACAAATTAGAGATGGAATATCCTAACAAAAGACAGCCAGGGCTGGGGGTGTAGCTCAGTGGCAGAGAACTTGCCTAATAACTTGCCTAGCCTGGCTGAGGCCATGGGTTCGATCCCCAGTACTAGAAAAAAAAAAAAACCTAATTCAAAAAAATTTCTTTAAATGTCAGGGCCAAACAAATCATACCCAGGGTCCCTGCCAAACTGCAATCAGTTTATGACCTCTGCACCCAGCCCAGAGGACCTTTGAGTAATGGAAAGACAAAATTTTCATTAGCCACAATAACTGGAGTCACCAGTGGCAGTGACCAAGCAAAGGGTAAGGGTAGTCCTAAATAACAAAGTCCTAAATAACAAAAGAAATGTCTTACTCCAAACCCCATAGCTTCTTCATTGAGAAGCATTGCAAACATCCCCTTATTAACCAGTATTTCCTTCTCCTTTTAGTGCCTCCCTCCTTCTTCCAAAACTATCACAAATATAAATATATCAAGAGGACACGTTTTCCTACTTCATGCTATGATTTCTTTTTTCCCTTTCTTCTTTAATTATTAGTACTACATCTGGAAACCTAACAAGGCAACATATTCTACATCTCCATGATCATTAGCCACAGACATCTGGCTATTGTCACTTTTAGGATCTGGCTCCCACTTTTGCATGAACTATTCTGCTTTCATCCTCCAGCTCAACTTCAGGACCAAGTCAGTTCTTAATAGCCACTCACCGAAATTCAGACTGATCCAGAAACAGGTGAACCTGAGCTAGATGATTTGAATTGAGTATGCAGGCATGCATATATGAAAGACATGAAATAATTTTCAACATTCTTTGCCTTTTAGTGTCCAAGAAAACATATAGATAGTGATTGTGTTCTTGTTTCCAAAGACATCTTAAATGTATTTCAATTTCAATATGAACAATTTTAGAAAATAAACAAAAAAATGCTCTTACCCCTAAACATGGAAATGTGGATTGAGTTGCTCCGAAAAATTCCAAAAAAAATGGATGTGACACTACAAATGATCAATGATTCGCCTCTAATTATATCAATATACATTTTAGAAATGCCTGCAAAAGGAAATATAAAATATGATTTAATGTAAAATAAATATATTATTAATATAAATACATAATTTGTATATAATTAAGCATATTTATATGTAAATATAATTTAATATACAAATGATACTCTCGCACAGGAAGCAGAAAAAGAAGAGAAGAAACAGGATAAGGGAAAAAAAGAACAGAAAGAAGACAGCATAATTCTGATGGTTCTATAAGACAATCACAATCACTTTTTTTTTTTTTCCTGTACTGGGGTTTGAACTCTGGGCCTCACACTTGCTAGGCAGGCGCTCTACCACTTGAGTCACTCCACCAGCCCTGTTTTCTGTTGGGCTTTTTTGATGTAGGGTCTTGTGAACTATTTGCCAAGGCTGGTTTCAAACTATGATCCTCCTGATCTCTGCCTCCTCAGATAATAGTAGTATTAGTCATGAACCACCAGCACCTGGCTACAATCGCAATTTTTTTAAATTGCTCCATTTCACCTTCTGAATTTTCAGTGGCAAAGGAACATAACAATAGTTCTCCTTGTATTGCCCATTGCCTCAAGCATGCCTGAGCCTCAGTATGAGACATGTCTTAGGACAACACACTTACCTTAAATAAGAATGAATCAGAGCCCAAAAGAACTTCATTTTAAAAGTATAAAATATGACCCAGCAATTCTAGGTATTTGTCCAAGAGAATTAAAAATGTGTGTCCACACAAAGATTTTTACATCAACATTCATAGCATTCATAATAGACAAAAAGTGGAAACAATTCAATGTCCATCCACTGATGAATGAATAAACACAGATGGTACATTCCTACCATGGGACATTATTCCTCCACAGAAAGGAATAGCAGCTGGGCATGGTGGCACATGCCTGTAATCCTTGCACTCAGGAGGCTGAGGCAGGAGAATCATGACTTCAAAGCCAGCCTAGGCTATATAGCAAGTAATGTAATGAGACCCTGAATCAAGAAAAAAAAAAGAAAAAGAGAGAGAACAGAGGGGAGGGGAGGGGAAAGGAGAGGAGAGAAAAGGGGAGAAAGATAAGAGAAAGGAATAAAATACTGATACATGTTACAACATGAAAACATTATACTGAGTGAAAGCCACCAGACACAAAAGCCACATACAATATCCCCTTATCTGTGGTTTTGCTTTCCATAGTTTCAGCCACCTGAGGTCAACTATGGTATCAAAATAGGAAATGGAAAGTTCCAGAAATAAACAACTCATAACTTTTCAATAACTTATTACAATATCTTGTTATAATTTTTATAGCTCAATAACTTTGAAATTATTGTTATTAATCTCTAACCATGCCTAATTTATAAATTAAACTTATGATAGGTGTGTATGTATAGGGTAAAACATAGTACATATAAGATTCAGTACTGTCCGTGGTTTCAAGCATCCTCTGAGGATCTTGGATCTCCCATAGACAAAGGAGGGCTGCTGTATTGTATGACTCTATCTTATGGGGACAGACAAATACATAGAGACCAAAAATAGATTAATGGTTGCCAGGTGCCTGAGTAGATCAAATTCCATATTCAGATTTCCATCTGATACAATTTCCTGTCTGCCTTAAGGACTTCCTTTAACATTTTTTGTAGTGCAAGTCTGCTGGTGAAAAATACTTTCAGCTTTTGCTAATTTCACCTCCACTTTAAGATGTTTTCTCTGAGTACGAAATTGTGAAGCTGGAAAGTGTTTTCTTCTAGTGCTCTAAAACTGTTGCCGGCACTGTCTTTTGGGCTGTGTTGTTTGTGAAGAGATTTCTCTTGTCATTATTGTAATTGTCCCTCAGAATATTTGCTCCCCGTCCCCTGGCTGAGTTTAAATTTTTCTCTTGATCACTGGTTTTAAGGGACGTATTTTTTCTATTTTCTTAGCATAGTTTTCTTTTGTTTCTTGGACTTGATGTTTGTTGAGATTCTTGAATATTTGCTTTTTAGTTTTTAGCAAATTTAGAAAATTTTTATCTGTTATTTATTCAGATGTTTTTTGTTCTTCTTTCTTTCTCTGCCCTGTAGTTGTTCCACAGTTCACTGATGCTCAGTAATTTTTCCTAGTCTTTTCTCTCTGAGCTTCATTTTGGATAATTTTCAATGCTAAGTCTTCACGTCCACTAATCTTTTCTACAGTTTCTGATCAGCTATTCATTAATCCATGTAGAACTCTGTGATCTACATCCCTGGAAGTTTGATTTAGGGCTCACATATCTATCATGTCCACTGGTATGCTAATAAACCAACTCTCCAAAACTTAAAAAAAAAGCCTTATTTGCAGTTTTTGCCAATTCCATGTGTAAACATTCCCACCATAGCCAATGGTTTAATAATGAGCTTGAAAATTTTCCTGATATATTTTTTTGAGGCAGGGTCTTACTATGTAGCCCACGCTAGACTCAAACTTGCAATCCTCCTGTCTCAGCCTCCTGAGTGCTGGGATCACAGATGAGCACCACCATGCCCTGCTTTCCTGATTATTTAACTATGGGCTCTTACAAACTGGTATGAGTAGGTTCTACACCATGCTCAATCTTTCCTTTAACTTGTTGAGCGTACAGAATACGGCAATAGAAACTTTTTTTTTTAACAGTTTCTTGCTGTTTACAAGGCTGGTCTCAAACCCCCAGATTCAAGTGATCTTCCTGCCCCAGCCTCCCTAGTAGCTGAGACTCCAGGTCCGTGGCAGCACATCCAGCCTCATGTTAACTGCTTTCATGTTTCATGTTTCATGTTTCATGTTTCTATGCTCTGCATCATTGCTGGTCTTCTTCTTATTATTGTGCATTTTATATCAGTCATAATTTCCTGCTTCTTGGCATGTCTAATAATTTTTATTAGATGACAGAATTGTAAATTTTATCATATCAGGTGCTTTATATTTTTATTTTCCTATAAATATCCTAGAGCTTTGTTCTGGAATGCAATTAAATTCCTAGGAAGTGATTTGAATTCTTTGAGTCTTGCTTTAAACTTTATTAGGTAACACCAAAGCAGCCTTCTCTAAGGCTCATTCTCCCCACTGTTGAGGCAATAACCTCTGATTCTTCTGTCTGATGAATTATGAAGTTGGTTTCTTCTCAGAGTATAAGAAACCTGAAGGGAATTATTCCCTCTGCTCCTTCAAGTGTTTTCTTTCTCCAGCCTTAGGCACTTACCTCACGAGCATGCACTAAAGAGTACCCATCCAAAGATTCAAAAAGGAGCTTCTACAGGCCTCTGGCCCACCTCCCTTGAGGCAGCCTTCATCTGTGCAGTAATTTTCTCTGTGAACTCTAGCCACCTTGGCCCTCCTGAACTCCCAGTCCTGGATCATCTCAACTCAAGGAAACCACCAGACTCTGCCTAACCTACCCTTCCCCACACGGAGACCTAGAAACTCTCCAGCTGCAGCAAGAGTCATCAAGGGCGCATCTCTTTTTTTCCCTCTCTCAGAAATCACTGGCCTGTGATTGTCTGCAAACTGTCTTTTTCATACATTTTGTCCCGTTTTTTTCGTTGTTTCAAGCAGGAAGATAAATCCATTTCCTGTTTCCATGTTAGCCCCAGTGTATAAACAAAGGGACCACTGATGAGTTTGCAGAACTTCCTGTCAACCTGGACTCCTTTTATTTAGGACAAAAACCCCGTATTTAAGAACAATGAGTATGGGGGCATGACTCAAGGGGCAGAGTGCTTGCTTAGCAAACACAAGTCCTAGATTCAATCTCCAGTACCATAACAGAAAAAGAACATATGACCTGTGGTGGTATACTATGCGGCCCAATGCAATTACAATTCCATGCAGAAAGAATTACACAGCTATGTATTTGCTAAAAGCAGCCATTTGATATAATCCATTGTATCAAAACCAAAACTGATCATATTCAGTGACATTTTTTAACCCAAACAAAATTGGACATGGTTAATACTTCATTTTTTGCCTTGTATCATGAAACATAATAATTGAGTAAATATAGTTTAAGGGGTTATGGTTATTATTTTTTCAAAGGATAACAGATGTAGTTTAAGAGAAAAGAAATATCTGCCTCCCAGTGATTGAACTGCATGTGAATGAAACACCAGAATATTTAAATGCTTATCTTGCTAACATCTCCCAAGTGAAAGGGTAAACTCCAGGATGGCTCAGGGTCTGATTGTGGACTGATATTTAGACTGGTTAGTTTTTTCCTTCCTGCTTCATTACTATAGGCAGCCCAGACAACAATAGCTCACAATCTTCTCATTTTATTACATTACCAATTTTGGCTGGGACAGAAGACACAAAGTAAAGCCAGGCATGATAGCACACATCTATAATCCCAGCGCCCAGATGGCTAAAACAGGAGAATCATGCATTTGAGGCCAGGGTGGGCTACATAGCAAGACCCTGTCTTAAAGACCCCAAAACAAAAAAGGCACAAAATTACTGGCTAAACAATCTGGAGATTATTAACACATTTGATTTATCTGGTGAAGAAGTCCTTTACTTCATCTCAAATTCAGCAAATCAACCAGGGCCAGTAAATGTTTGGTGCATGAAGTCTTGAATCTGCTTCACAGTTATTTTAATAATAAAGAACCACAGTAGTTACTCTTCACCTTCTTTATCAGCTTAATGTGGAACTAACATATTGCTTTGCTATAAAAATTTTTTAAAGGGAAAGAATAAAACAAAAATCACCCATAAGTCTACAACCCAAATATGACTAGTTTAACAGTGAAGTTCTTTTCTATGCATATAATTCTTTTTATTCAATTACGATCATCCTAATCTTTGTACGTTATTCCCTTACAAGATCCTCTACTAGATCTTCTTTAAAATAAAAATACTTGAGCCTTATGCACTCTTTTAAAACAGGTGATGAATAGGCAAGTTTCTTTCAACTTCCATCTAAACATCCACTCTTTTTCTAGTGAGTCAGTCCATATCAGAGGAGGAAGGTTTTATATTGCAGAAGGGCATTTCACCTGAAAAAGCATCATTCACAGTGTAGAAATTATAGTGAAATATATATTATG